AGTTCGAGGTTGAAGGAGTGGTAGGAAGGGGTCGTCCGCGATTGGGATGGAGAGAGCAGGTGAAGAAGGACAGGGTGAAAGCGGGGTTGCGTGATACTGAGGCGAGTGACAGATGTGGATGGCGTCGAGGGGTGTTTTGGTTTCATCATAGGTAACCAAACGGCAACCCCCGATCTCGGGGAAAATGTCGTCTAAACGTGTGTTGTTGTATATATATATTTATATACATATTAACAATATTCTATAAATTCTACCGAATGTTAGCGTTAATATGTTTGTAGTTCGTTTTTTCGATTTTTCTCACTAAAGTTTTTTGGTGAACGTTTAGTTTATTAAAATTCAAAATAAACTTATTTTTCGAATTCATGCTGCAAATAAGGCCATATTTCGATTCCTAATGAATCATCGTCAGTGCTCTTTGTTGTATATATAGGGAAATATTGACTTTGTCAATATTAACTTTGACGTTGTAAAAATTAACTTTGGTGTTGTAAAATTGAACTTTGATGCGAATTAGTTGTCAGGTTTCTTAATTGGCTGGTCATCTTCTTTGGTCTCCTTTTCTTCATCGATAGCATCATATTCTTCTTTGTCACTATTTACGATGCTAGTTTTTATTACTTCTTTGTTTTCGTTGACTTTTTACAAAGAAGTAACAAAGACTTTGTCAATATTAACTTTGACGTTGTAAAAATTAACTTTGGTGTTGTAAAATTGAACTTTGATGCGAATTAGTTGTCAGGTTTCTTAATTGGCTGGTCATCTTCTTTGGTCTCCTTTTCTTCATCGATAGCATCATATTCTTCTTTGTCACTATTTACGATGCTAGTTTTTATTACTTCTTTGTTTTCGTTGTTGGTTAAGCGCCGAGTTGGAAGTAAGGTTGTCAATTTTTGTTGTATATTTATTTTTGGTTTATTGATGTCGATTAGGACTGCTTCTGCAATTTTAAGATGCGTGTAGTTGCTGTTCTGGTATATTACTTTGGTGTTGCTGTCGAGGCTTACGATGACTAGAAAATCGCGACGCTGAATTAAAGAGGGTCACTAACCTGCTTGTAAACAATGGATGCGAATTAGGTGTCAGGTTTCTTTATTGCCTGGTCATCTTCTTTGGTCTCCTTTTCTTCATCGATAGCATCATATTCTTCTTTGTCACTCTTTACGATGCTAGTTTTTATTACTTCTTTGTTTTCGTTGTTGGTTAAGCGTCGGGTTGGAAGTGAGGTTGTCATTTTTTGTTGTATATTTATTTTTGGTTTATTGATGTCAATTAGGACTGCTTCTGCAATTTTAAGATGCGTGTAGTTGCTGTTAATTTGGCTAATAATTGGTCGGATGGGATGATTCTTTTTATGCGTTTTTATATTTCCATATAAGTAGCCAGGTGATGTGCTTACTTATCTTCTTAATTTTTGTGTTTAGTTTAGTTTTTAGTTGAGGAGTGGGCAACTTATACGTTATTATTTTTATTATCATCGCTGTGGTTCTTCTTGTGATGATGTTCCATTTGCAAGTGATATTTGCGTTGTTGTTATTGTTGATGCTGTTGTTGTTGTTGATGTTGTTGTTGGTGTTGTTGATGTTGTTGTTAGGGTTGTCACTATTGATGATGTTCCAATTGCAACTGATATTTGCGCTGTGGTTTGTAGCATTGGTATCTAAGGTGTTGGCACTGTTGTTGTTATTGTTGTTGTTGATGTTGTTGTTGGTGTTGTTGATGTTGTTGTTAAAGTTGTCAGTATTGGTATGATTGTTGTTTACATCATCAATATTGTTGGTGATAACATTGTTATAATTATTACTGTTGTCGTAATTGTTGTTGTTATAATTATAATGATTGTTGTTTTTATTTAGTAGTCTATTTGAAGGTAGAATGTTGTTAGACTGTACTTGAATGTTCATGGAACGATTTTTGTTTTGTATGAAAATTGATTCAGCTATTTTCAGGTTTGTGATATTGTTATTGCAATAAACTATTTGCGTGTTATTTAACATTTGTCGTGTTAAAGTGATGTTATGCTGTTTTTGATAATGTTGTTTAATTGCTCCATCTTGTAGATGCATGGTCAAACGTCTTGACAATGTGGTAGTTGTCATTCCAATATATGAAGCATTGTTGCGGTGCGAACATTCACCGACGGAGTATTTATATTCATATATTAGATGATTTTGTTGTAGTTGAGTAGTTGCAGGAAGGCAATTATTTTTCATGATTAGTTGGGATGTTTTTAAATTTTGATAGTAAATTCGAAGAACAACTTTATTAATTGGATTTGACGCTACTACGTTTCTGCGTATTATTCCTTTTAAAATTCTTTCATCTTCTTTATACGTCATTGAAAAGGTACTTTTGTAGTAAAATATTATCTTATTTTTGTCATTCATTTTGTTATTGATTTGGTTTCTAATGATACGGCTGTTGTTGTTGCTGTTGTTGTTATCGTTATTACTGTTTGTGGTGAGGCTTGTGATGCTGTTATTATCAAGGTTATTAGACGTGGTGGAGGGGTTGCCATTATCTTCCTGTTCATTGTTGTTTGGAACGTTGTTGGTAATTGCATTATTTTGATGAATATTTTGTGCATTTTCATGATATTTTTTGGTTAATCTATTTATGACTTGATCAATTTGTTTCAAAGAGTAATTATTGTTCACGAGAAGTTTTTTTATTCTTAATAATTCTGAGTTGATGAGTGTATAATCAAAGCAATGTTGAAACGCTCTGTTAACTAAAGAAAATATAACACTATTTTTATATTGTTCTGAGGTCTCGCTTTTACCATTAAGACAAAATCCCAAATTGGTGTCTTTTACATAAACTTGCGTTTGAAAACCAATGTCATTTCTGGTTATCAGGACATCCAAAAATGGTAGCTGTTTATTATTTTCAATTTCATGGGTAAAGGAAAGAACTGAGTTGGATTTAAATTCATCAATTAGGTCCATCAAGTTGTTTTCATTTTCTACTATAATGAACGTATCATCAACATATCTTACATACAT